TTAGCACACCTGCAAGAAGGAAGGAAAAGGTTAACAATTGGAGGTGGTGGGGCAGTCCTAAATGTGCACTGGCGCCTGTAAATCTATAGCAATGCCTATTGACACGGCAATGGGCAGTATTGTAGAAAAAAAAGGCAAAAAAACCCCAAAACCATCCAGTCCTGAGATGAACACAACTCCCTCAGGCAGCACAGCCAGGGGGGATGGCACCACTTACAGTTAAAGTGGCATTAAAGTCAAATTTTTTTTCCCCTCCCCCCAATGTTAATGTCAGCACTCACCTTCAATGATGTCTCTTAATCCGATCTTCCTCTTCTTTCCTGTCACTTTCAGCCTTCTCTCCAGCGGTGCGGCGCCTCTCCGATCCAGCGCTGACTCCTCTGTCCTTGCTGGCACTTCCCGTCCCACGGTGTCTGCATGCGGGGAGTGCACGCCGTCCATAGACTTACCTTGCGTCTCCCGGCCGAAAATCCGAACTGCGCATGCGCCCGCCCCAAGATGCTTTGCAGCCGCCCGAGCAGTTTCGGATTTTCAGGCGGGAGCGCGCGGCGAAGACACAGGTAAGTTTAGAGCGTTATTTAAAAAGAACTTCTTGCATGCTAGCAATAGATATATGGAAAAAAAAACGGAGGCTTTAGAAACCCTTTAAGACAGGGATGTCCAAACTCCGGCCCTCCAGCTGTGGGTGAAACTACAAATCCCATGAAGCATCTCTCTCCGGGAGTCATGTCTGTGGCTGTGAGAATCTTGCAAAGCCTCATGGGATTCGTGGTTCCACCGCAGCTGGAGGGCCGCAGTTTGGACATCCCTGCTTTAAGGAATACAGTGGTGTCCTCTTCCTCCCCCCCCCCAGGATGCTGAACATCGATAATGCAGCAGACTGATTAAATGACTTTGTCCTCTTCTCCCAGCTGTGTGATTGACAGCAGTCTGCTCCTCATCAGCACATCTGCATTCAGTACACTTGATTTGGTCCCAATAATCCAACCTCCCCCCCCTCTCCCCGTATAGTTAATTGCAATATGCCGGTACTAAGCCAAACGTGGATACTTCCACTAGTTGACATTGACTTCCCTGGACTTATAAACAATATTGCTAAGGCAGCTCCCTATGCGTAATATATGTTTGTATATATAGTGTAGTCATGGCCAAAAGTATCGGCCCCCCTGCATTTCTGTCAGATAATGCACCGCCATTGCTGAGCCTGATGAAGGGGACCCTGCGTGGCCCCAAAAGCGTTAGTTCTGATGATGACATTTTGAATAAACAAGCAATTTGGATTACAATACGTTTGGTGAGCTGGTGACATCCATTACACGCCCCCCCCCGTGTTGATTTGGGGTTTCCGGTAAGGAGTGCGGCAAGTCAACTTTACGTTTGTTCCTAGATGATGCGCCACTTCGCACAGAAAATTGTTGCACTTACAAATGTTTCGGCGTTCTCATGTTTATTTCTTTCGTTTGTATTGGTATGACACAAAACTATCCGCTTTTTAACAAAACGACAGCTTTTTGGTAAACATTCTACCGTTTTCCGAAAAAGAAATGAGGCCTCTAAAGAAAAAAAAAATACAATCACTACAGTCACACATGGTGGGGGAGGGGTCACTGATGTTTTGGGTTTGCTTTGCTGCTTCAGGCGCTGGATGTCTTGACTGTGTGCACGGCATTATGAAATCTGAAGACTACCAAAGAATTCTGGGGTGCAATGTGGGGCCCGGTGTTGGGTGAAAAGTTGGGTCTCCGTCAGAGGTCATGGGTCTTGCAGCAGGACAATGACCCAGAGCACACGTCAAAAGGCACCCAGAAATGGCCGATCACGTGGGCGCTGTGCTCACAGAAGACGTGGGCAGATCCCGGAGATCTTGGAGAGCGGTGTCTGCCCAGCTGGCCGAGGGACTGGTACGGTAATGAATGCTGATAAGGATCTATGTGAGGGGAATGATTTGTTTGCAGGGTGGGGCTCGTGTCGCCATATTATCAGATTTGTTTGGCTGGGAAGCTGGCTTCCCGGCCAATCAGCATCGAGCCGGCCAGACAGCATGGAGACAGCTTCCCGGCTCCCTCGTGGCACTGCCGCTCAGAGGAAATCTCCCGCTGACCGGAAGTTCCAGTATCGGGAAAGGTATCAGAGCATTTGCACGAGTACTCGCCCAAATACTTGCTATCGGCACCGATACTAGTATCGGCGCATCCCTAATTGAGGGTGCCGATAATTTTGTCCAGTCCATTTTTGGAGTTCTGTGTAGAATTATCTGTCTGTCATTATCTGACAGAAATGCAGGGGGGCCAATATTTTTGGCCATGACGTTAATTGAATGTTCATAATAATATGAAGGTGGGGGGGGGGGGGTATGGTTTTGGTGTCCCCTTTTTTAATAAGAGTGTGAGGGGGGGGGGGGGGGGTATGGTTTTGTGGTCCCTGCCTGCAGCAGCCTTGTTGTGTTTGGACTCGCTGTGATCGGGATGATGTGCTGGTGTCGGAAATCCTAACGTCGACCTAGCTATCAGAACCGGCTGGTCCAGGTCCGCAGGCCTATGCAGATGAAGCCACACTGAACGGACACTGTAATTGATGTGTAATAAAAGGATGTTGGGTAGCAGGTAGTGAATACATAATAAGTGATGAAGGTTTTGTTTTCACGCTGCGATGTAGCCATTGGAATATATTCTGATGATTAGATTGTAACAATGCGCCTTCGCACTCCCAGCAAACATTATCTCCGCTTTCCTGGAATCGCTAATACAAATTTATACAAACAACAGATCGCTATTATTAGACTATGGATGTAAAGAGTCCTTGTATTCGGAAGACGGAGGCAGGAAGCCCCTCGCCTTTTGGCAGGCCTTACACTCCGTTATCACGTGTGTATCGGAGCTTCTCTAATATCAAATCATAGTCCACGTTACAAAGGAAAACAAACCCCCCCTGACATGCGATTACCATGTGATACATTTCAGTCTGATTTGTTTGATCGGCCGAGGTTACTTAAATAACGTTGGTTGGCTTTTTTTTTATTTTTACAAATTTGTTGTATTAGAAGCACTTCAATCATTCGTCATCTCGCCGGGCTCGGGATGTGTTTATAATTTGTAACCATTGACGGCAATACAAACACACGCTGAATGCAAACTGCTGACACAAATGCCCTACAGCGGTCTGCCATCTTCACACTTCAACCCAGAGACCCTTTCGGAACGCTTTCCAGATGCACTCGAAATGCGGATCCATTGCCATGGATGCCAACAATTTGAAAACCAATGAGGAGGCGTAACAATAGATCTGGAAATACATTCAGAATTCAGTGTAGGGTTGCCACCTTTTCTTCAAGTGAAACCCTCTAGCGCAGTATGTGGCAGAACGTAGAGGAGAGAGAGCGAGGAGAGGCAGCTATACAGCAATACAAAATAATATGAAGCTACATATTCTGTGCTGTTCTGGGTTGGTGCCCTGATGTGGCTTGGTGGGCTGTGCGTGCTCTCCAAGGGGGCTGTTCGGGCTCTCAGGTGGGCTGTTCGGGCTCTCAGGTGGGCTGTGCGGGTTCTCCGGTGGGTTGTGCGTGCTCTCCAAGGGGGCTGTGTGGGCTTTCAGATGGGCTGGTCGGGCTTTCAGGCGGGCTGTGCGACTCTCAGGGCTGTATGGTGTCTCACCAGGGGTCCACAGGCGGGCAGCACGGTGTCAGGGAGCCGGAGGGGAAGGAGCAATCACAAATGCGGCTGCTGAGATCCTCGGCATGCCCAATCTCCGGCAGCCGCATCGGCATGAAACCCGGATCTTCCTCGGGCTGCCCGCAGCTCAGAGGAGGATCCGCTCTCAGGCCAATGCAGCTGCCCAAGATCGCGCTTGCTGAGGACCTCGGCAGCTGCATCTGTCAGAAAATTTAAAGTGCCAGTGCCCGCTGGCGGGACACCCGGACACAAGACTCCAAAACTGGACTGCCCGGGTGGCAACCCTAAGTCAGTGTCCAGTGTTGTACGGGCAAATGTGGGATCATCTGCATAGCCCTGCACTAGCCGGTTCTGATAGCTAGGTCGGAGTTAGGATTTCGACACCAGCGCATCATCCCGATCACAGCGAGCCCAAACACAACCAGGCTGCTGCAAGCAGGGACCACAAAACCATCCCTAGGTTGTTCTATAAGGCCAGGATTCTGCATACACTTGCAGATCAATGCGTGCCATCAGAGGGAATACCCCTCGCCTTCCTATGACTATTATGGATTTTATGTAA